GAATTTGAGGCTGCAGTGAGCTGTGATCACAGCCCCACTGCATTCCAAGCCCTGGGTGGACAGAACAAGACCCTGTCTGAAATAAATAAATAAATAAATAAATGGATTTATCTCCAGTGGCCAATAAACAGTCAACTTTTGTAAACATTCTATCACATAAGTGAATGTTTGCTTTTATTCAAACGTTCGATGTTATTAATTTTTTGCCAACTTGATTCAAAATTCTGCGAACAAAATACTGAGGCCTCACCTATTTATCGTGTGTTGTGTGTTTTTTTTATTTTTAGTAGAGACAGGGTTTCACCATGTTGGCCAGGCTGGTCTCGAACTCCTGACCTCAAGTGATCTGCCTGCCTCGGCCTCCCAAAGTGCTAGGATTACAGGTGTGAGCCATGGTGCCTGGCCCCCAGAGGAGACCTTTTGAATACTTTAATCTCCCCCTTCTCACTGGGAATTTAGGAATTTCATAGCATATGTGTGCTTCTGTTTTAAAAATCAAAGCTGCCTAGGATTTGGCGGGCTCTTTTAGTGTACTCAGTCTTCTTCAGATTATGGAAGTTCTCCTGTATTACCCTCCTGCTTTTGCTCCTTCTGAAACTTCCATTATTCATGGAATTCATTCATCCATTAAGGCTCTCCTTAATGTGTTTTCAAATCTCTTTCCCACCCTTATTTCTATTTCTTGGCTTTTTTACCTCTTTGTTCTGCAATCTATCTTCTGCTTGATGTTCCACATTACTAATTTGGTCACCATGGAGAAGCATGCTTTTTTGTCTGGGTCAGTGCCCGGGCTTTCCCTGCTATTTCTGATAAAGTCTCTTCCATTTAATTGCTACGTCAGTGAGATCTGCCCTATTCCCCTCCGTCTGAGCCTCCTCAGGTCAGGGTTCCCCTTTTCTATTGTGTCTGGTTACTCTCGGTTTTTGTGTTTCCTTAATGAGTCAGGGCTGCTGAGTAGTGGCCAAGTAGGGAGTGGTTTCTGCTCTCTGGACCGAGGTGAGAACTGGCAAACCATCAGCCCTTGCTGAGGATGTGGGTGGGGGATGGTTTGCAGGTCTCTCTGACAAGGGGTGACCCTCTCCTGACTTCAGCACACACACCCCGGCCTGGCTGCTCTCCAGGTCTCTGAGCAAGTGGATGCTGCCCCTCCCAGAGGATTCTTAGTTCACTGAGATCCTTTCTATGTGGGCAGTTGGAGGAAAGAATTCTCTCTCTTCTCTTTCCTTCTTTTTCTTTTTTTTTTTTTTTTTGTGTTCCTTCAAGGAACCATGAAATTCTGATTTGTGCTCCAGGCTTTGGCGCTACTGCTGCCTAGTTCTGCAAGTTGTTAACCAAACAAGGGCATCCGGTTAAGTGGATGCTTAAGTCTCCGCTCCTTCTGTACAAGGCTGTTGGTGGCTGTCCCTGGGGAGGGAATGTGTTGCCTGCAGGAAAGACTACCTTTTGATAACTTGCACACGGACACTCTTTTCTTGCTAGGACAAGTGTCCCCAGGGCTGCATTGCATCTGGAGGGTACTTTCCTCACCAAGGCACTGGTAGTGGCTGCCCTAACTGGCTTCCAGGGGCTTCCTTCCCTCCTGTGCTGTGGTCCCTTGGCTCTCTGCTGGTACCAAGGAGAGCCTAGTTCTGGTCTGTCCTCTTTCCTGAACCCAGAGTAGAACTTGCAGTCTCAGATGCAGCAACCCTCTTTTTTTATTTTTTAAATTAAATTAAATTAATTAATTTATTTATTTTGAGACGGAGTCTCCCTCTGTCGCCAATGCTGGAGTGCAGTGGTGTGATCTTGACTCACTGCAACCTCTACCTCTCAGGTTCAAGCAATTTTGCCTCAGCCTCCCAAGTAGCTGGGATTATAGGTGTGAGCCACCATGCCGGCCTATTTTTACTTAATTATTTCAAAAAAGTGGAATGTACAGTAAAACAAAACAGGCAGGAAGGCTGGGCACAGTGGCTCATGCCTGTAATCCCAGCATTTTGGGAGGCCGAGGCATGCGGATCATGAAGTCAGGAGATTGAGACCATCCTGGCTAACATGGTGAAACCCCATCTCTACTAAAAATACAAAAATTTAGCCGGGCGTGGTGGCAGGAGCCTGTAGTCCCAGCTACTCAGGCAGCTGAAGCAGGAGAATGGCGTGAACCCGGGAGGCGGAGCTTGCAGTGTGCCACTGCCACTCCGAGCCTGGCGCGACAGGAGCGAGGCACTCTATTTTTCAAAAAACAAAATCAAAAAACAAAACAAACAAAAAATTTGCAGGAAAATAAGTTTCAAATCTCACCATCCAGAAGCCAAATATTAATTAATTCGGTTGCTTTCGCGCCGCGGTTGCGGTGGCTCAAGCCTGCTTGAATCCCAGCCACTTTGCGCGGAGGCCGCAGATTGGGTTCGCCGGATTCACGGAGGTCAGGAAGATACGAGACCATCCTAGGCTAACACGGCTGAAACCCCGTTCTTACTATAAAAAAAACACAAAAAAACTTACCGGCGTGGTGGCGGGCACCTGTAGTCCCAGCCCTAACTCGGTGGGAGCGCCTAGGCAAGAGAAATGGCGTGACCGCCGGGAGGGCGCGGAGCCTTGCCATGTGAGCTCGAGATCTGGCCCACTCCACTGCCAGCCCGGCCGTGGAGTAGAAGCGAGACTCCGTCTCAAAAAAAAAAAAAAAAAATAATTTTTGTTCATCCTTTGCCTAACCTCTAGCATTTATAACATATAAATGAATAATATATACTATATATATATATTTTTTTTTTTTTGAGACAGGGTCTCATTCTGTGGCCTAGGGCTGGAGTGCCAGTGGTATGATCATGGCTCACTGCAACCCTCCTGGGCAACAAGTGATCTTCCCTCTTCAGCCTCCTGAGTAGCTGGGACTATACATACCCACCACCAAGCCTGGGTAATTTTTAAATTTTTTGTAAAGATGGTGTCTTACTATGTTGCCCACGCTGGTTTCAAACTCCTGAGCTCAAGTAATCCTTCTGCATCAGCCTCCCGAAGTGCTGGGATTACAGGTGTGAGCTACTGCACCCGGCCTATACACACTTTTTTTTTTTTTCTTTGAGATGGACTCTCGCTCTGTTGTCAGGTTGGAGTGCAGTGGTGCGATCTCAGCTCACTGCAATCTCTGCCTCCCAGGTTCAAGTGATTCGCCTGCCTCAGCCACCTGAGTAGCTGGGACTACAGGCGCTTGCCACCACGCCCAGCTAATTTTTGTGTTTTGAGTAGAGACGGAGTTTCACCATGTTGGCCAGGATGGTCTTGATCTCTTGACCTTGTGATCTGCCTGCCTCGGCCTCCCAAAGTGCTGGGATTACAGGCGTGAGCCACCGCGGCCAGGCCTATAAATGCACTTTTTAAAAACTTCAAATGATATCAAAATTCTCCCATCCAAATGATCCATAAACAATAACAAAGTCCTCTACAATTATAAATGTTCATTGTTGAAAGATTACCTTGCCAGCTAGTATTTATCTTTTGGATATATATCTTTTGACATATATGTATTTATTTATTTGTATACTTGTGTATATATTTATTCAACAAAAATGGGATTGTGCTATTCCTAACCCTTTTAAAAATTTAATACGGTGTGAACGTTCTTCCTTGTTAGAAAACACAATTGCATCACTGGATTTTTCCACTTTTGCTATTATAAATAATACAATGATGATCTTATATAATTATTGTTGTTTTTTTGGAGACAGAGTTTTGCTCTGTCACCCAGGCTGGAGTGCAGTGGTGCGATCTTGGCTCACTGCAGCCTCCGCCTTCTGGGTTCAAGCAATTCTTGTGCTTCTGAATAGCTGGGACCACAGGCCCGCGGCACCATGCCTGGCTAATTTTATATTTTTAGTAGACACGGGGTTTTGCCACGTTGCCAAGCTGGTCTCGAACTCCTGGCCTCAAGTGATCCACCCACCTCCGCCTCCCAAAGTGCTAGGATTACAGGTGTGAGCCACTGCGCCCAGCCTGTGCGTATATAATTTTGATTTTCTAAGTATTCCTTAGGTCATAGAGTATGCATATTTTAAAAGCTCTGAGCAGAGTTGCTGTTCAGAAAGGCTGGGTCAGTGTCTGTCTTCCTAGTAACAGGGCAGAAGTCAGCCTGTCCTACCACACTCTCCTACTGCACTCTAGCCAGTGTTAGTAACGTGCTTCTGGTCACACTTTCACATGAAGGCTATTAGGAGCTACTGACAAAGTTTAAGTAGACAAATCACATAACCACATTTGCATTTTTGATTCCAGCTTCAGGGCCTAATAGCTCTATTAGTCTTATATGGCCCCTAGGAGGCATTCAAGATAGTGGTGACACTAAGCAAAGCGGGGGCAAGTTGAGGTAGAGAGTCTGAACAAGCAGGTCTCTAACCTGCAACTATGGAGAAGCAATTCAGTGTTTCCTGTGGCAGGTGGAGGGAATACTTACCCAGCAGAGCATGCAAGACTCTTCGATATGCACCTTCATGTATTATCTTGTTCAGTTCTCTGAGGCTGGGATCGTTGTTATCTCCCATTTTGCAGGTGGGAGAATTGAGGCAGAGAAAGGTTCAGCACCTTGCCTTTGGTTACACAGCTGGTCATTCTGGCTTCAATCACAGGGCTACCAGCCTGTGCTCTTCACCACTGAGCTTCCCTGCCTCAGACCACTTCCCCGGACCATTAGCTGGATTCTGAGAGTAGTTTCCAAGCCAGAGCTTTCAGAGTGCTTTTGTTTGTAGGACAATTTTAAGACAGTGGGTTCTTGAATCTTTTGTGTTTTTTTAAGTCTCAGATTTATCTTCCTATTTCCTACTTCTCCAAAAAGACTGAGAGCTGACATACTTGATTGTAAGCTCTTTGGGGCAGAGCCCTTGTAATCGTCTCTGTATAAAACAGTGCCCACCCCAGTGACTGGTACTTGGATGCTTCAGTCAACAGCTGTGCTGTTAAATAGGGCAAGTTTTTCCTAGACCCGCATTCTGATAAAAGAAAAATCAAATGAATTATGATTGAACCAATTCAACACACACTGTTGCATTTTATGTATGTGTTTTTGGTGACCTTACTTTGGAAACAATGTAAAAGTCACATCTGTGGAGTGTTTTTAGAGCACTTTTACATTCATTTATGATAATAGGGACCTGCCCAGGCACTGGGCTAGGTGTTCCACATATACTGTGTCATTATGTAAATTGTGATTCACAAGAACTTGAGAAGCTAGCAGGGTAGCTATTATTATCCTTGGGGTGGTTTGTTTTTGGTTCTTTGGGTTTTTTCCCAGGGGAAGAAGCTGGAGTTTGGACAGCCCCTGGCCTACATGGGCTCCCTTTTGCAGAGGCTGCTCCAGCGGGGATCTCCTTGAGCTCAGGCAAATAAGCCAGTGCCAGGCCAGGTCCCCTGCACACCTTTGTCTATTTTCCCCTTTGTTCCTTGGATCTGAAAACCCTTCAAGGCTTCAGAGGAAGCTCAGTGAGTTGATTCTCATGTACCGGGAGAAGAGAATGTAGAGGCGGCGGAACCAGAGGAGCTGGCTGCGGTGGCAGGACATGGCTCTCTAGAAGAATCAAAGAGAATCAGTTATGAAACACTTGCACTGGAGCTGTTTCATTACTTTCAGATCTGGCCTCCTCACCTTAAATCCTTCCTCGCACTAATATGCTTCATGCTATAGCCTTATCTGTCTTCTTCCCGTAACCCACGAACCTCTCTGGATTGGCCCCCTATCATGGCCCCTGCTTTCGCATCTCCTACTTCCTCCCTGTGATTATAACACACAATGCTCACGGTAGCTACAACACTCACCATGGGATGCCAGAAAACTGGCAAAACAGTCCACATGCATCATCTCAATGTTAACAACCCTGTGAATCAAGTACTGTTATTACTGTTTTTTAAAAAAATAAATAGATGAGGAAACTCATCAGTCTCAAACAGCTAGTAGGTAGTAGAGCTGGCTGAGATTTTAACCCAGAGCCATCTGATTGACTCTACAGTCCACATTCTTTTTTTTCTTTTTTTTTACTTTTTTCTTTTTTTTTTTTTTTGAGATGGAGTCTCGCCCTGTCGCCCAGTCTGGAGTGCGGTGGCGCAATCTTGGCTCACTACAAACTCTGTCTCCCGGGTTCACGCCATTCTCCTGCCTCAGCCTCCCGAGTATCTGGGACTATAGGCACTCGCCACCACACCCAGCTAGTTTTTTGTATTTTTAGTAGAGACAGGGTTTCACTGCGTTAGCCAGGATGGTCTCCTGACCTTGTGATCTGCCCGCCTCGGCCTCCCAAAGTGCTGGGATTACAAGCCTGAGCCACCACGCCTGGCCGTTTACAGTCCACATTCTTAATCATGTTGCTACTACCTCAAATGTACAACACAGACGGGGATGTTTCATGGGAAGCAACCTAGTACATGCTAGTACACTATGCCCAAGTTCCTCTGAGTTAGGTCATTTCGGAGGTACAATCACTATCAGAAGAAAACAAGGAATGGCACACAGGCGTGAGTTGTCGTTCCCACCTTCTAGGGGAAATGTACATTATCTTGTTATTCAGACCTAGTATAGTTCGGTTTTTAAACAGAATAGATTACAGCAACTGACTTCACTAGATATACATAAAAGGATGTGCCTGTTTATCTCTGAGTACCATAATTAACTTGCCTCTCTAAGCTAATATCTTCACAAACTTTTATGTAAAGAACCCCTTTTATATTCATTGTCAGACTCTACATGACTTGCCAGGTGCAGTGGCTCACACCTGTAACCCCAGCACTTTGGGAGGCCAAAGTAGGCGGATCACCTGAGGTCAGGAGTTCGAGACCAGCCTGACCAAAGTGGATAAACCCCGTCTCTATGGAAAATACAAAATTAGCCGGGTGTGGGAGCTCATGCCTGTAATCCCAGCTACTTGGGAGCCTGAGGCAGGAGAATCGCTTGAACCTGGGAGGCAGAGGTTGCAGTGAGCTGAGATCACACCATTGCACTCCAGCCTGGGCAACAAGAGTGAAACTCCATCTCAAAAAAAAAAGAAAACAAGAAAAGAAAAGAAAAAGAACCTACATGACTTTAAAGACATAAACACACCTGTGATAACCAAGCTTTAACTGATAAAGAGAATTGAGGCAGAACAATCACCATAGAATATTATTGAGTAAATATTATGCAGCATTATTTCAACAGGAAATCCAACTATGTTTTTTTTTTTTTTTTTTTTGAGATGGAGTCTCTATCGCCCAGGCTGGGGTGCAGTGGCACGATCTCAGCTCACTGCAACCTCCGCCTCCCAGGTTCAACAAGTGCTGCCTCACTCTGGTAGCCGGCTTTCGAGCAGGCCTCCCACTGCCATACCCTTAATGTTTGTCAACTGTATTTTAGAAGATG